TGAGACTCAGCCAGGCAATAAGATGACTAAGCAACCTCAGGGGTGTGTGACTCAGTGGGATAATTCAAGAGCATTTAGCTTTGTGACATGCTTCTTAGTCAGCTTCATAAAGATTCATTGTTTTAGAAAAGTAATGGACTTATAAACGGTGTGAGGCACTGATTTTAGTTGATAAAAATTAAACTCATTACTTTGACAAAGCCAAGTTAACTGTGTCAGGGACAATTTCACATCACTTTTGCCAGTGAATCAGACTATCATCTACACATATGCCCTCCATCCTCCATTAAAGCCACAATTAACCAAACACAGTCTCTGAATGACTTTTACATAATGGGATTTAGTAAGTCATAAGAAAACCAATGTATATTGAAAAATGAAATTTTAATCAGTAATGCGTAATGTCTTTGAGCAGAGGTGTGTGATTATAATTCAACACCAGGCAGGTTAGGGGCTTATTAATAATTTGTTATTAATTTTCCACAAGTAAATACTATATGAAGTCATCATGCTAGCACTTGCTTTGTATACTTTTAACTCCTACTGGTTCCCTTTATACAAGTTATTACACTTATTCATAAAATCCAATTAGCTCTTCATTCTTTTTAATAAGTAGCAAATATAGTTTCTTTTTCTGTGGATTGAGAGATTTCATTAAGATGGTCAAACAAAGTTAAGAGGTTTCAGGTAGATAATTTCTAAGCACAACTTCATACTAACATAATGGTGATTAAATTAAAAGGTAGAATTCCAAAATAATTTTAAAGCCTTGAGTTAATTTATATATATATTTTTTGTTTTAGTTGTCAATGGTCCTTTATTTTACTTATTTATATATGGGGCTGAGAATTGAACCTAATGCCTCACACATGGTAGGCAAGAACTCTATTACTGAACTACAATTCCAGCCTGAATTAAAATTTTTAATAAAGTTAAATTAATTCAATGTTACACCCATCAAAAATATTAGACTTTTGGACTAGAAAAGGCACTATTTTAGCATTACAGCTCAAGCTTTTGGATGGATGACAGCTAGAAATTTGCTAACTTGCTGCAAAGTGATCCTGAACAGTGCACTTATGTGACCTTCTCCCCACTGTTGGATTAGGTTTCTGGAAATATCAATTTCAGTAGAACAGTTGTTCAAAACAGCTGCCTTGAAAAGTTTTAAAAAATCTGATTTTTTTACTAATGAAGCAGATACTGACACCCTAGTAAAAGATCCAAATCTCCAACAATTTCAACATCAGCAGTCAAAATTCAGATTAAACAATTCAGCTATTTAAGGCAGTTATTAAACTGTGCCTATACTCTTTTTTTTAAACTATGTTCATAAGCAACTTCCAACAACTTTTTTTTTTCCATTTCTGTAAACAGACTGTATGGTCGTTGAGGCAAAACTTATCTTCAACTACAATGGTATACTCTATAAACTATTGATTTTTAAAGTGTGAAATGGTTATCCTTGGTTCTCAGGACATGTTCTGGTGGTCCTCAAAGTCAAAATTATTTTTGTAAGAGACTATTTTTCTTTTTCTACTGTTATTCTCTCACAAATGTACAGTGGAATTTTCCATAGCTTACATGATATTAACATGCAATGAATACATCTATTGCTGTTTATAAAAAATAAATACATGGATATTTTAAAAATCTGTATTATTTAAAAATACATTATTTAACAGTTAAAAACTAATATTTTGTATATTAGTTTTAATTTATGATATGGTAAATACCAATTTCATCCATATAAATTAAGAAGCTTTTTAGGGTCATCCACAATATTTTAAGAGTGTAAAGGGGTCCTGGGACCAAAAAGTTTGAGAAACACTGCTCTAAACAGAATAGTGCAAAACTCTATATGAAACTCCAATAAATGCCTGCCATCTCAAAATGCTTTTAAGACTTTTCTCCAGCAGACATTATTTCAGACAGTTTTTATACTTGGAATCAGTCAATAAACTTAGTTACCTCTGGATATACCACAGTGTACAAGGATATCAAATATAATTTCTAAAGATCCAGAATCATTTAATATTGAAATTGTGACTAAAATACTATTTCAGAGAACCTGAGTAATACTTTAAAATGTAGAAAGATACCTGTAATGTGGAAATATACACTTTCATGCATATTTAAAAAAGCTCATATTACTTTTTTTACTTTTGGGGAATAAGATAGTTCTACTTTGATAATAATTAGAATAAAAGGATGTAAAACTGAAATATGGCTGCAATTTATATGTTCTTTTACTCGAAAATTGTAAAGTATGATGTAACATGCTTTAAAAAATTATTCCAGGGAAACAATCTAAATATTTTCTTACAATAAAGTGCAATATTTGGCTATAATAATCACAAGTTATAAAGGCTGCCAAGCAGGACTTCAGAAACCTAAGGGAAGTTTTTCTTTTCAAGTTTGTTTTCTTTTCTTCTTAATGTGCTTTAAGTCATAATAAGTCATACCATTCATTTGTAAACAGTGACTAAGATAACATATTACCTTCTAAGAGAAGATTATTCTCCAGGGCCTCTAAGTTCTGAATTAGAATATGTTAACTTAGAAGACGTCAGTATTCCTAAATGGATCAGTGGATCAATGCACCTACTTGAATGGCATGTTCTAACCATTTAGACTGTTAAGAGAAAAACTCTTGGGGCTGTGGATATGGCTCAGTGGTAGAGCACATGCCTAGGACGTTTGAAGCACTGTGTTTGATCCTCAGCATCACATTGGAAAGATAAACAAATAAAATAAAGGTATTGTGTCCAACTTACACACACACACACACACACACACACACACACAGAGAGAGAGAGAGAG